CCGTCGCGCCACTCGGCCGGCCAGAGAGCACATGCTCTTAACAGCAAGGTTGCCGGTTCGACTCCTGCATGGGATGGTGGGCTACACCTACTCGCAACTAAGATTGAACATGGCACCTTGAGCTGAGCAGCCGCGAGCTGCCGACAGGCTCAGTGTGCAACAAGGTTGCCAGAAAACCCACCCTAAAATTCATATGGAATCTCAAGACACCTCAAATAGCCAAAACAATCTTAAAAAGAGGAACAAAACTGGAGGACTCACACTTATTAATTTCAAAACTACTACAAAGGTCAAGTAATCAAAACAGTGTGGTATCAGCAGAAAGACAAATAGATCAATTGAATAGAAGAGACAGCCTGGAAAGAAACCCTCCCCTATACAGTCAAATAATTTTTGACATAGGTGCCATGGCCATTCAATGTGGAAAGGACAGTCTTTTCAACAAATGGTGCATGAAAACTGGATATCCACATGCAAAAGAATGAATTTGGACCCTTACCTAATACCATATACAAATATTAACTCAAAATGGATCAAGGACCTAAATGTAAAACCTAAGAAAATAAAACTCTTAAAACACGGGACAAAGCTTCATGACACTGGATTTGGTGATGTTTCTTGGATATGACACCAAAGGCATAGGTAACAAAAGAAAAAATAGATAAAGTGGACTTCATAAAAATTAAACCATTTCATGCATCAAGACATTATCCACAGAATAAAAAGGCAACCACAAGATGGGAGAAAATACTTGCAAATCTTATATCTGATAAGGGGTTAATGTCCAGCAAATATAGAAAACTCCTAAAACTCAACAATAAACAACAAAAACAACCTGATTCAAAAATAGGTAAGATTTGAACAGATATTTCTCCAAAGAACATATTTGAATGGCCAATAAGCATATGAGAAGATGCTCAACATCACTAATCTTTGGGGAAATGCAAATCAAGACTACAATGAGATATTGCCTCACACCCATTAGGATGGCTATCACAAAAATAGAAAACAACTACTGGTGAGAATGTGAAGAAATTGGAACTTTTGTGCACTGTTGGTGGGAATGTAAAATGGTAAAGCCGCTGTGCAAAACACTGTGGCAGTTCCTCAAAAAATTAAAAAAGAATAACTATATAACCTAGCAATTCCACTTCTGGGTACATACCCAAAAGAATTGATCGCAGAGTCCTGAAGAGACTTTTTTGTACACCCATGTTCATAGCATCATTATTCACAAAAGCTAAAACATAAAAATGACCCAAGTATCCATTGAAAGGTGAATAGATAAGCAAAATGTGGCATATAGGTATATTATTCAGCCATAAAAATGAATGAAATTCTGACAGGTTACTACATGGATGAACCTGAAAACATTATGCTTAGTGAAGGAGGCCAGGCATAAATGGACAAATATTATATGATTGCATTTACTTGTATATGAGGTACTTAGAGGAGTCAAAATCATAAAGACATAAAGTAGAATGGTGGTGGCCAGGGGTTGGGGAGAGGGCAGAATGGGGAGTTATTGTTTAGTACGTATAGAGTTTCAGTTTTAAAAGACAAAGAGTTATGGGGATGATGGTAGTACAACAATATGAATGTGTTTAATACTACTAAATTGTATACTAAAAATGGTTAAGATGGCAATTATATTTTACCACAATTTTTAAAAAGTGAAAAAAATTGTAGATCTTGTATTATTCTGTATATAAGAAATTTTAGAAAAGGCAAAAGTAATCTATAGTGAAAAAAAGCAGACCAATGGTTCAGGGCCATAGTGGTGTGGTTGGGATAGACTGCAAAGGGGCATGAGGGAACATTTTTTTGGAAAATGAAATGTTCACTGTCTTGATTGTGGTAGTTGTTACATTGGTATAACATTTGTTAGAACTCATCTAATGGTACACTTGAAATGGGTGTATTTTATTGCATAAAATGATACCTCAAAAAAGCAATTAAAACTTTTATGACTTTAAGAGACAAAAATACACTGTGGACATTTTTCCAGTTTGATATTATTATTTTTTATGGCCACATAGTTTTTCACTGTATAACTGGGCCGTAATAATTTTACCAATCCTCTTTGGATAGAAATTTAGATTCTCCTCCTTCAATTTCTTGTTCTTATAAACAATGTTTTAGGATCATCCTTGTAGTTACATCTTTGTGCACTTGTCCAATTATTCCTTTAAGATAAATTCCAAGAAGTGGAACTTCTGAGTCAAAAGATATTTAACGGCAATAATGACAAATTATGATCCAAAATTGTACTAATTTTCACTCCCACCAACTATAAGATTCCCATTACTCCCACATTCTTACCAATGCAACCTGTTACATCATTATAATCTTTGCCAATTAGACAAATGAAAAATGACAGTTCATTGTTGTTGTTTTTATCATTAGTGATTTGAGCATATTTTCAGTACCTTGGTCATTTATACTTCTATGAATTATCTGCATCCTTTTTTCTATTTTTGTTTCCATAATTATCTGTGTCTATAATTCTACTTGATATTAAGATATAAGATATTACTTATATCTTATTGATTTGTAAAAGTTCTCCATATATTAAGGATATTGATGCTCTTTCATGCATGTTGCTAATGTTGTCTCCTGGCTTGAGGTTTTCTTTCCATTTTACTTGTGGTATTTATTATTACTTAGAAATATTAAATTAGGACAAATCTGTTTATCTTTCCCTTTATGACTCCTGGATTTTATATCTTGCTTTAAAAAGCCTCCATTACACAAGAATATCTTAAAATATTCTCTCATATTTTCTTCGTGTGCTTTTATGGTTTTGTATTTATAATTTTAACTCTTTAATCCAAACTGAAATTTAATTTTGTGTTCAATGTGAAGTAAAGCTCAAAAAACTTTTTTCATAGTCTAGACAATTGCCCCAACACCATTTCCACTGATTTGAAATACTATTTTTGTCACATTACCAAACTTCTTCATATATAAATATGTATTTGTTCCTGGATTCCATATTATGTTCTGTTGACTTATGTATCTGTTCTTGTGCTAGCCCACCCTGTTTTAAATAGCTTAATATAAATGGAAGATTGTATTCAAGAATGTAAAGTTGGTTCAATATTAGAAAATCTATTAGTACAGCTCACAGGTTAAAGCAGAGATCTGATATACATCAATCATGTCACTCCATCCAGTGGCTTCCCACCCCACTTAGAACAAATCTAAACTCCTTACGACAGTGACCAGGTCTCAACCCCACTCTGACCTTGGCTCCTTTTGTGAACCCACTCGTTCATTCACTCTGCCCCAGAAACTCTGGCCTTTTTCTGTTCTTCTAACACATAGGGCATTTGCACCTGCTGTTCCCCTAGCTCCTTGCACGATTAACTCTATCTCACCTTTCAGATCTCCACTTATATGTCATTTCCTGACAGAGGCCTTCCCTGGCCACTATGACTATCACATCCTCTGCCGCCTAGACCACCAGTCCTCTCCATCACTCAAACTGTTTATTTCATTCACTAATCACCATCAGGATTGCCTTGCTTATTTGTTTTCTTCTTTATTGTCATTTTTGCTATCACCACACTGACAGGGGACTTTGTCATATTTGTTCACCTTCACATCCCCAGGGCATGGAACATACAACAGGCACTCAATAAATATCTTCTGGTTGCATGAATGAATGGAAAGAAATCATGCAATATCAGTATTGCTAAAAAGTCATTTGCTAATTTAACAGACATGCCTAATATATATTTTTTAATATGTAAAAATACTATGAGGCACAGTTGATTATACAGCACAGCTTTGGTGTCAGTGAAGCTTTGGTTTCTATCTTAACTCAGCTGCTTCCCTGTTGTGGATCCTTGGGCAAGTTATTTAACCTTTCTGAACTTCAATATCCTTGCCTATAAAATGGGAGAAACAATGGTAATAAGAGTTGTTACAGGAAGTAAATGAAATAAGTACAGTGCTTAACGGAATGTCTGGAACACAGTAAGCCTTCAGTAAGTATTATATAATGTTATTTGAATGGTAATAGGAAATGAGAAACGGAAGGAATATTTTCCAAGAGGAGAAGAGAACTAATTAGAAATCTATCACAAATATCAGGCCTAACGGTTTGGGCTGGAACCACTCCTGGTAGAGTCAGGAGTAAGACAACGGTGCCTGCTACAAGTGCTGTCCCTTAACAGCACTCGGGGGAAGCAGTGGGTCTGGTCAATGTAGAAACATTGTTCAAAATGCGAGTTACAATTTTAGAAAACAGATGAAATTATTTGTATTGCAGTAATTCAAAAGCCTGAAGAGAATGAACTGAAGAATGATGAAAATTAATGTTAATATTTAGTATGTTGATGGGACATGAGATAAAATACACAAAAACTGTCTTCTTAGATACCAACAAAATTCATAACAACAACACAAACTATTTAAAAATACCTAGACACAAAGAAGAAATTGGCAAGATTTAGATGAGGAAACATAGTTTTACTAAAGGATCTAAAGGAAGCCCTTAATAATACATTAATGTGACTTCAATAAAAATCCCATCTGTTTTTTGCCCCCCTTAGTTTTAAACTTTAGAAGAATAAAAGACTGAGAACACCCAGAAGGATTCTGGAAAAGTATGAGTGACCTTGCCTTGGCCTATTTCTAATGTTCCCAGGTTAGTTCATCTACTTCAAATTCATTGCACTCAACTCTCCAATACCACTATGAACTGAATGGCTGGAAAACGCTATTTTACTTGTTGGTAAGCTTCTTTGAGCATTTTCCAGGTGAAAAGGTTCATCTTGAATTAAAATGCCCGGGAACCCCAATGCAAATCCAAGGTCAGGGAGTGTGTTGGGTCCTTGGGGCTGTAGCCAGTGAACCCCTTTTAAGTGAGTAACATTGAGCCCCAGAGAACACAGGGCTAGACAGCATGGTCAGACCTGGTTCAATGAGCTGCTGCACCCAAAGCAGCAGCCGTGACTTCTGCCCAGCCCTAAGTCTTGTTTTTTTTCTTCTAGACCCCTGGATGAGAGACGGCCAACCCCCACTCCATGAGTTCCTAAGGCCCTGCTGGAGGGGCTGGCATGGGCCATACATCCTGTCCACTGCAGGTGAGAAGAGGGGTGAGTTGGGGCATGCTTGGGGGTCCTCAAGTGTCCACCTTAGCTGAAGGAGGGAGACCCAGGGATCCATTCACGTCCTCAGAGAGGAAAAGAAATGTGAGCAGGTGGGACTCAGACATGACTTTGCCTCTTAGTGCCTCTGCAGTAGAGAACAGTGCTGCCTGTGGGTCAGGCGGCCCGGGAAAACAGGGTACGAAATGTAGCTGCTCTGAGGACCAACTTTCCCCTCCTTTTCGACTCCTCCATTTTTTTTTTGTTTCTTTTTTAATTAGTAGACTTATATGTTAGAGCAGTTTTAGGTTTATAGAAAAATTGAGGGAAAAGTTGAGAAACATTGAGCACAGAGATTTACATATGCCCCCGGTCCCCCCCACTCATGCCCCCCCCAACCACTATGCACATCCCTACAGAATGGCACATTTGTTACAATTGACGAACCTACATTGACATGTCATTATCACCCAGAGTGCATAGTTTACATTAGGGTTTTCTCTTGATGTTGTACGTTCAACGCATTTGGATAAAATGTATGACATGAACCCACCACTGTAGTATCACACAGAGTAGTTTCACAGCCCTAAAAATCCTGTGTGCTCCACTGGTTCATCCCTCTCTCCTCACCTCAAACCCCTGGCAATCACTGATCATTTTACCGTCTCCATAGTTTTGCCTTTTCCAGAGTGACAGAGTTGGAATCAAACAGTATGTAGCCTTTCCAGATTGGCTTTTCATTCTTCCTGTCTTGTGAATGGACCTACTTAAAACTGCATCACCATTTCTAGGTTACAAATGAGGACACCACGGCTCAGAGAGCTCAGGCGGCCTGCCCAGTGTCACATAGCCAGTAAGTGGCAGAGCTCTGGTTCAAGCCTGGGCCCCAGTTCTTATCCATTTGGCCCCCTGATTCCAAGCGATGCTCCTGGCATCAGAGACTACTCTCACCATCCAGGAAAAATAGCCCTTCCAGCCTCTTTCCAGGAGGCCTGTGGACCACCAGCTGAGGGAAGAGAAAGGGTGGGTCCCCACACATCCCTGGGAGGCTCCTTACCGATCTCAGGCCCCTAGGCAGGGAGACAGCAGCAGGAGGTACAGGCCTTGTCTTCACAGCTCCTGGTAGCAATCCTGGACTCCATGAGGAAGCAGGAGTTGCGGATGGGCGGGGAGGCTGGCCAGAGCCATGGTGCTGGCTCCCCAGCAGAGCAAGTGAAAGCCCTCGTGGACCTGCTAGCTGGGAAAGGCAGTCAGGGCTCCCAGGCCCCACAGACCCCCAACAGGACACCGGACACCCCGCTGGGTCCTCATGGCAATGGTAGGCAGATGGAGGGCTATTCCCAGGCCCTCTCTCCCCCCACCTCCCTTCGACCCCCAACCCTATCCTCCCTCACCTTCCCTTCCCCTGCCCTCCCCTGCCCTCCCCTCTGGCCTCTGTCCTACAGACTTGAGGATACAGAGGCACTGGGACGCCCTGCTGAGCAGAGCGGGAGGCGGCCTGGGGCCAGGCGGCCCCTCACCCAGGCTGACCAACCTCCTGCTGGTGGAAGGCCTGACAGACCTGCAGCTGAGGGAACACGACTTCACCCAGGTGGAGGCCACACGCGGGGGCTGGCACTCCACCAGGACCATCGCCCTGGACAGGCTCTTCCTGCCTCTGTCTCGGGTATCCATCCCGCCCCGTATCTCCATCACCATTGGGGTGGCCGGTGTGGGCAAGACCACCCTGGTGAGGGAATACATCCGCCTCTGGGCCCGTGGGCAGGTCGGCAAGGACTTCTCGCTGGTGCTGCCTTTGACCTTCCGGGATCTCAATACCCACGAGAAGCTGTCTGCAGACAGACTTGTCCGCTCTGTCTTTCCACATGCCGGGGAGTCCGGCGTGGAAGTAGCAGACCTGGCCAAAGTCCTCCTTATCCTGGACGGCCTGGATGAGTGCAAGACACCTCTGGACTTCTCCAACACCATGGCCTGTACCGACCCCAAGAAGGAAATTCAGGTGGACCACCTGATTACCAACATCATCCGAGGCAACCTCTTCCCAGAACTTTCTGTGTGGGTCACCTCCCGCCCCAGCATGGCTGGCCAGATCCCAGGGGGCCTGGTGGACCGGATGACTGAGATCCGGGGCTTTAATGAGGAGGAGATCCAAGAGTGTTTGGAACAGATGTACCCCGAGGACCAGGTCCTCTTGGGCTGGGTCCTGAGCCAGGTGCAGGCCAACAGGGCCCTGTACCTGATGTGCACCGTCCCAGCCTTCTGCCAGCTTGCGGGGTCGGTGCTGGGCCACTTGTGCCACCACAGGCGGGGGCCCCAGGACACAGAGCTGTGGCCTCCAAGGACTCTGTGTGAGCTCTACTCTTGGTACTTCAGGATGGCCTTCGGCGGCGAGGGGCAGGAGACGGGCAAGGCGAGCCCTCGCATTGAGCAGCTGGCCCACGGCGGCCGCAAGATGGTAGGGACGCTGGGCCGGCTGGCGTTCCACGGGCTGGTCAAGAAGAAGTATGTGTTCTATGAGCCAGACCTGAAGGCATTCGGTGTGGACCTGGCTGTGCTGCAGAGCGCTCTGGGCAGCTGCTTCCTACAGCGAGAGGAGATCCTGGCCTCCTCGGCAGCTTACTGCTTTGCCCACCTGTCCTTACAGGAGTTCGTGGCGGCCGCATACTACTACAGCGCGTCAAAGAGGGCCATCTTCGACCTCTTCACTGAGGGTGGCATGTCCTGGCCCCGGCTGGGCTTCCTCACGCATTTGAGGAGTGCGGCCCAGAGGGCCGTGCAGGCTGAGGACGGGCGACTGGATGTGTTCCTTCGCTTCCTCGCGGGCCTCTTGTCTCCACGGGTCAATGCCCTGCTGGCTGGCTCCCTGCTGGCCCTGGGCGAACACCAGGGCTCCCGGATCCAGGTGGCTGAGCTCCTGCAAGGCTGCCTGCGCCCCGACGTGGCAGTCAGCGCCCGGGCGGTCAATGTTTTGCACTGCCTGCATGAGCTGCAGCACACGGAGCTGGCCCGCAATGTAGAGGAGGCCATGAAGAATGGGGACCTGGCCGGGCTGACTGGCCCCCAGCACCGTGCCGCGCTGGCCTACCTCCTGCAGGTGTCGGACGCCTGTGCCCAGGAGGCCAACCTGTCCCTGTGCCTCAGCCAGGGCGTCCTCCAGAGCCTGCTGCCCCAGCTGCTCTACTGCCAGAGCCTGAGGTGGGTGCCAGGGTGGGGTGTGCAGGATATGTGGGCAGAAGAGAGCGCAGAGGAGCTTCTATCATGCCCCTCTGCATCAGTGTCCCAGGGCTGCTATAACAAAGAACCACAACCTGGGTGGCTTGAAACAATAGAAACGTATTCTCTTCCAGTCTGGAGTCCAGAATCCAAAATCAGGGTGTCGGCAGGGCCACGCTCTCTCTGACACCAGGGGAGGATCCTTCTTGCCTCTCTAGCTTATGATGTTGCCAGCAATCCTTGGCTTATGGACGCATCACTCTAGTCTCTGCCTCCATGGTCACATGGCCACCTTCTCTGTGTCTGTCTTCACATAGTGCTCTCCTTGCTTGTAAGGACACCAGTCATATCAATGACAGGCCCACCCACTTCAATATGGCCTCATCTTAACTAATTACATCTGTGATGACCCTATTTGCAAATCAGGTCACATTCTTGAGGCACTGGGGGTTAGAATGCCAGAATGTCTTTTGCGGGGACACAGTTCAACCCATAACACACTGCGAACCATCCCTGCACTGACAGAAGTCACACCCACTCACTCCACCCTCAGCTCATCTTCTGTCCACTGCTCTAAACTCTAACAGGGGATAAGGGGCTGTTTGTAGGGCCAGGGCTATTCAGGACCTGAGAGCAGCTTCCACGTCCTCAGAAGGAGGAAGATTAGCAACTGGTGTCCCGCATATGCACACGGTGTGTGGGGTTGCTGGGCAGGCACCTCTCTGGGTAAGAACCCCAGGACTTATGCCACTGAGCCTCCCAGTTCACCTTTGTAAGCATGGTGGGAGTGCTGGCTCAGACCTCTGAGTTGCATAGGGAGACCTGCACAGGGATGGAGAAGAGGGGAAGGGAGAGGGTCCCAGTCTGGGCCTCCTCTGCTGCCCCAATGCCAGGCCTCATCCCTGACTGTGGGTGGTGGTACCACTCACTATTGCTGTTTCTCCCGACCAGGCTGGATGCCAACCAGTTCCAGGACCCCGTGATGGAGCTGCTGGGCAGCGTACTGAGTGGGAAGGACTGTCGTATTCAGAGGATCAGGTAACACTGCCCCAGGAGACCTCACCCAGGGTGCCCGTCTGTCTTTCAGAGTCTGGGGGCTCCTTTCCAATCCTCCTCTCTGCTCTACTGGCCAATGGTGCTTTCAAGGAGTCGTGTCTTTGAAGCATTTGTCTCAGGATGGGGACTGCTTATTTCTGCCCATTCCAGAAGGTTCCTGAGGCTCTGGTACCTCATCTGTAAGAAGAGAGAAAAGAATGGTGGGGGTCAGAGGCTATGGTAGACATGGAAGCACTTCTCCAAACACTGTATGTATTAACATGGTACCAGGTTCAATTTTCTCTAAACTCCTCTCAAAGTTTGCCCTCAAGAAGTATTTTGGGCACAGGATTGCATCTTTAAATAAAATTTAAAATTTCTTAATTAAAAAATTTAAAATTTAAACATTGCATCTTTAAGGTAATTAGATGAAAAGTTTATATGCTGACAGAAGAACAGCTCTTCGTGCTTATGAAATCTCTCCTGTAATAATTTCCAACTCGGAGTAATGCCCTGATTTGTAGTTGAAATGCTGCCATGACCTGAGGGTGGCTTTCAGAGAATTAGGGAGGTGAGTTTGGAGAACAGGACCCAGAGAATAAGTTTTTATCCTCTCACAGGCTGGCTCTGGGTTCTGAAATAATCTTTATCTGAGGAGACAAAAATGTAGAATGAGTCAGGAGCAAAACAGTAACTGAGGACATTGGTTAGAGTGATAGTCTCTATGTGACCTTGTACAGATACCTCAGTGCCTAAGGAAAGTAAAAAGGAGGTTAAAATAGCCAGTACCTGTAAGTTCAGGGGTCACCATGACCATCCTCAGGTTCAATGATTCACCAGAACACACAGGTCTCAAAAAAGCTGTCACATCCATAGTTACAGTTCATTACATTGAAAGGATACACGTTAAAATCTGCAAAGGGAAAAGGTGCATGGGGCAGAGTCCTAGAGAGACCAGGCATGAGCTTCCAGCTGTCTCCTCCCAGTGGAATCCTACAGACAGCACTTCCTTCTCCCAGTGATGACATGTGATGACACACACGAAGCGTTCCGACCAGGGGAGCACACTTTAGCCTTGGTGTCCAGAGTGTTTTTGGGGGGTCGGCCACGAAGACATGCCTGGCCTCCTGCATATTGACCTTATTCTCAAGCCTCACCAGAGGTTAAGTTGACACTGCATGGTCCAAGGTCCCCAACATAAATCACACTGTGAGATTAACTATTCAGCAAAACCCAAGGCCCCCAGGTAAGCAGAGACATTCTTATCAGGCAAGACATTCCAAGGGCTTGGAAGTCACCCCTCAGGGGCTGGGGTCAAGTTTAATGCTTTCCTGCACACTGCCTGCTAGAGTCCTTTTGAAGCTCCAGTGAAAGTGCTCAGGACAAGACAGGCACAGAGGAAGCACTGTATAAGGGCAGCTATTAGCAGACTCCCTTTGTCTTGTTAGCCAGAGATATAAATGCAATCCAGTTTGAAAGAAACATGATAATGACAACTTCTCATTATTAAGATTTTTTTCTTCATGAGAGCCTTCAGCAAAGTAGTCAACTTCAAGTGTTTGGCTTAAAGGAGTCTAGATAGTGCTCAGGAATGTCTCTGAACAAAGCAAAATATTTCCTCTTCTATACCTCTCTGGTCCTCGTGCCTGTTTGAAATGCCCAAGGAATCTTGCACAAAACATACACGGCTCAGGAAATACCAACTTATAAAATGTAAAAATCCTGGAGGTCATGGGCATGGACAGAGGCGCTCTAGAACCTGAAAGCATTTATATAGAAGGTGGTCTGGATGAATGGTCTTCAAACTTTACGCAGTAGAACCCTTTTTAAAGTGGCATATCAGGCAGAATCCCAGTAAGTCAGAGAGACAAAGGGGGAAGCTGCTGGGATCAAAAGAAGAGGGGATGGGGGTGGGGGGGGAATGACAGGTCAACTCAGTTGGTTAGAACATCGTGCTGATAATACGAAGGTTGCTGGTTTGATCCCCGCATGGGCCACTATGAGCTGCAATCTCCTTAAAAGAGTCAACTATGCCATTGTAGCATGAAAGCAATGTGTAACCAATGACCATGGCTGTTCCCCAGTAAAAAAAAAAAAAAAAAAAGAGGGATGGGCCCAGAGCCCAAGCACTTGGCTCCCTCTCAGACTCCTAATGGCTCCTGAAGTGTTCCTGTGGAAACTTAGGTGCTCTTGAAACACAGTAAGAAAAGCACTGAGGAATCGAATTGTATCCTGTGAGACTGCCCCATAGTTTTAAATATCTAAGAAACATTGAACCTCAGCAGCTACAATTTCTGAAATTGGGTATATGAAGCAACATTAGGTTGACCCACCAGTATATTCCTGGAATCGCCATTTCAAGACAGATACAGATGTACTTTTTTTACTTTAAAGTTAGTTCTGTAATAACTATGCTTTTCCTTTCTTGCATTAAAGAAAGGGCTGGAGCCAGTGGTATGCTGGAACTATGAGTTTATGAGAGCTGACTGTTAAATTTTCAGGAATTTTTGCAAGCTGTGAGTGCTTGAAATTGGCCATGGTGGAAGTATATACAGCATGGAAAATGGCCAGTGCTACAAATCAGGGGTTTTGTGGTAGACTTCCATGTGGTAGGGTCCATGTGGTAGACTTCTGTAACTACCTGTCCACTTTGTTGTGTTGTGTGCAAGCTGTTTTGCTTTATTCTGGCCAAACTTTTCCTTGGGACCCTTTGCCAGCATGAAGGTCTGTCTGTCCACTTTGGCCCCACCTTACCTGGCTCAGAAGTTATCCTGGGCCTGGCAATCTGTTCCAGGGCTCACCTGATCTCCACCTGTATCCAGGCCCTGATGATGCTGGTGAGGCTGAGGGGTTTGGATCATGAGCCTGGAGCTGAGGAAGAAGTGATGAGATTTACAGACTTGCAATAACCACTCCTCTCCCTCTCCTTGGGCAGCCTGGCTGAGAACCAGATCAGTAATAAAGGGGCCAAAGCTCTGGCCAGATCCCTCCTTGTCAACAGAAGTCTGACTGCTCTAGAGTAAGTACAACGCCAAAGGCCAATCTTTCACCATTGGGATAGGGAGCACTTGTGAGACATCTGGTGACGTTCCCTAGACCACAGTCTCCCCTGGGTAGGTTGGAGGGACAGTTAAGCAAGCAAAGTCATGGTTCCTGCTCAGCTGTTGGGACTCCTCCAGGAAGCACCAGAATTTCAGCTCTGAACCTGGTGTTATTCTCTCCACACTTGGCCCAAGCCCACTAGCCCATCAGATCCTGCTTACTTCTCCCAGTCACATGGGGCCACCTTCAGAAATTCCTTCCTTGTTTGCCTACATAAGGATCTCTGACCCAGTTTCACCAAACACGAAATCCTAATCCCTGACCCTTTCTTTTCAAGGAGCATAGATTTAAAGGTCAGTGTAATTTCTGTTCTTCATTCCCTCTTTGGGAATTGAATGAAAAAGAATGGTTCTGTCTCTCTCTTCCTTCCGCCAGCCTCCGCAGTAACTCCATTGGACCGCAAGGAGCCAAGGCGCTGGCAGATGCTCTGAAGATTAACCGCGTTCTGGCCTCTCTGAGGTACATGTCACCTGCTACCCCCTGGAAAGGGAACAGAAAACCTTCTCCTCAGGTACCACCCATGGAGTGGGAGGTGATTTAAAATGGCAACCATGAGATACCAGCTCCCACTCAGTGGTTACCACAGGATCTTGTATCCTAAGCAAATTTCCAAGTTCCAGGTCCTCTCTGGTCATTGTGCTTATCCGCATTGAGCAGGAGATAGAGGAGAAGATAGCAGGTACATAGAGGTGGAAAGGCAAAATAATCAATGAGGGAAATTTCTTGTCCTCCATTGAGTGAGAAATCCCCAAGGCTATGATGTCAAAATATTTACTTGAGGTGTTTTCCAAGACACTGAAAGCCCATCCTCCAGAAGATTCCTGTGGTATGCTATGCTCCTTTTAGGGGCCAGTGGTTGTAGCCATCCTTTGTTGAATGTGTACCTTCATTTTGTTTTGTTTTGTTTTTTCACTGATTTTTATTGAGGTGAAATTCATATAAAATTCACCATTTTGAGGTGTGCAGTTCAATGGCACATAGTACATTCACAACTGTGCCACTATCACCTCCATCTAGTTCAAAATATTGTCATCACCCTAAAAAGAAACCCTGTACCCATCAGCAGTCACTTCCCATCCCCCCCCCTTCCCTTCAGCAACCACCAATCTGCTTTCCATCTCTGCGGATTTGCCTATTCTGGATATTTCATATAAATTGAAGCATACAATAAGACCTTTGGTGTCTGTCTTCTTTCACTTAACATAATGTTTTCAAGGTTCATCCATATTAGTATGGATTAGTAGCCTGTATTAGTCCTTCATTCCATTTTATGACTGAATAATATTCCATTGTGTGGATAGACCATATTTGTTCATTTATTCAGCAGTTAATGGACATTTGGGTTGTTTCCACCTTTTGACAAGGTGAATAATGCTGCTATACACATTCGTGCACAGTATTTGAGTACCTGTTTTTAATTCTATTGGGTACATACCTAGGAGTAGAATTTGCTTGGTCACATGGTAACTCTATGTTTAACCTTTTAAGGAACCTCCAGACTGTTCTCTGCTACAGCCATACCATTTGACATTCCCACCAGCAGTGGATGAGGGTTCCAATTTCTCCACATCCTCACCAACACTTGGGTGCTGTGGCTTTTAGCTGTAATCAGGACAACCTAGCTATTGTTATCCCACTACCATGGGCACCTTGTGCCTAGTCAGCAGGCAAGTGCTTAGAGACCCACAGGGAAACCTAAGGCCAAACAGGCAGAGAGAAGGGTCAATTGGTCCCTAGTTCCTGTGTGGTAGACAGTGAGAGCAAGTAGTGTCAAAGCCCCTTCTCACTGAGGTCAGGTGCTGTCCCCCTTGGCCACTGGTGACACTGTGGTGGGGGTTCAGGCCACCACTGGGTGCCTTTCGCATTATGCCCCTTTAGTGATACGTCTGTTCCTCGCATCCACAGCCTCCAGAGCAACAGGATCAGGGATGATGGTGCCAGGTCCATGGCTGAGGCCTTGGCTGTCAACCGGACTCTCTCCGTGCTGCAGTGAGTAGACATGCTGGCCAGCACAGTGCCTCCTCTGTTCTCTCCTTCTCCAAGGGCCTCTCTGCCTGTTTTCTGCAAGGAGGGATGGATGGGCCACGGTCCTGAGGCTTTCTGACCCATCGGGATAGCCCCTGGAAAACTAGATGTCCATTGCTTTTCCAGAGAACAGGTGTTGGGAAATAATTAAAAATAAAGCCTCCTGCCAATCCAGAAAATTTTCTCCACAAATGTGGGAAAGACGAAACAGCTTTATTACTTGAATAAACATTCAACTAGACTGCAACATGCATCATAGGCAACCACCAATGAGATTGCAAAGACAGAAAGAAATCATACCCTTTTCCATAGCCAAGCAGCTACAACCCGAGATAAAAAACAACTTGTCCTCAAGTAAGAGGACTGGACAGCACCATTTGTCACACAGTTTGTCCTAAATTAGCCTGGTAGTTGGGTAGCCATCTGTGTTTGTTAATTGCCTTTAGCCAAAGGAAAGTTAAAACCTTTTATCTTCATGACCTGCAGGTACTTACAACTTGGAGCCTGTGCTATATCTCCTTTGATGTGTACATTTCAAAGAGATGGCCCCCAGGCCCTTACAAAAGACATTCCTACACTCTAAACCCAGGCAAGAGTTTTTTATGTAGCTTTTAAAAAGATGTGCATATTTCTCAAAGGGACAGGGAAAGGATTTACAATTGCACAAGGAAATGCTCTAAGAAAAGGGAGGGGGAGGTCTTTTTCCTTTTAGGAACCAAGGGAAATTCCCTTTTGTTTAGATTACATTTAGCCCCCTGCAAAAGAGGTCCTGCCCTGCCTGTTCTCCTAGGATGAGCACAGGGGTTCTCCTGTAACAGCTCTTCCTCCAGGTTTAGTATAAGAAGAAATAGCTTTTAGAGAAGAGGAACCATAGTGGAGAGTCTGTCCTAGGAAAACTAGGATTGGGAGGCAGGCTGCTGGTTGGTACACATGGAGGTAGCTGTTGAGTATTGAGAGGGTTGGATGGGTAAGGGGCCAGTGGGACTTGTACATGGAAGTCCCCACTCAGGAGGTTGCTGGATATTATGTGTCTGCTAGTCGCTAATTTCCAGCTTCTGACAATGGAGGGCCCAGCTGCCCTTGCCTCTTACTCTCCACATAATGTCAGTCTCTTTGCATCACGTTGGCAACAATCAGCTGACCTTTCCTGGATACCCTCCCCCCATGCTGTGACACGGAGATGGCGCTCAGTACTCCTTGGCCTAGGAGTGGCTGTGGCCAGCTTTGCTGAAAGGCTCCTCTCCCACAGCCTGCAGAAGAACACCATCGGGCCCATGGGAACCCAGCGGATGGCAGATGCTCTGAAGCAGAACAGGAGTCTGAAGGAGCTCATGTGAGAAATGCAGAAGGGCCAAAATGGTATCCTCAGTGACTAACAAATGCCCAGCCCATCATAATATTTGTGAGCATGGGAATAGATGGATGGATGGATGGATGGATGGATGGATGGATGGATGGTTAGATGGATAGATAGATGGATGTGTGAGTGGATGGATGGATGAATGTGTGAGTACACAATAGCTGACTTTGGACTCCAAAGCACTAGACCAGGAGGATAAAGACCCAGGTTCCCAGATTAAATGAGCCACAACTGTCTCAGGCTCACATTTCCTGCCTTCCCAGCTATCAGAAGAAAACAGCATTTCCTGGCCACCTTCACATAAAGTATCACAAACTCCTCCCCCTAAAAGGTTGGCCCTGCTCCCTACCCCCGTGCCCCCTGCCTCCTGCCTCCTGCCAGGGAGCCAAGGACTTTGCTACCGTTATCAAGGAGCAAGTGGTCACTTGCAGAGGCCACTGGCGAACCAGCCTCATGCAGGAGAAACTGTGCACTGGGCACCCTTAAGACAATACATGGCCCTCCCTGGACCCTGATCCCCAGGCCCCACCCTGCCCGGCTGCCCCAAGAGGCCGGCTCACCTTCCCCGTGTCCCATCTCTTACAGGTTCTCCAGTAACAGCATTGGCGATGGAGGTGCCAAAGCCCTGGCTGAGGCCCTGAAGGTGAACCAGGGCCTGGAGAGCCTGGAGTGAGTCTGCCTGACCACCCTCCAGGAGTGGCAGTGGGCAGAGGGTGACTCCGACCCCACCACACCTGGGTTCCCCATCCAGTAGATGGGCGGGTCCTGGAGGAGAGCTGTCAGTCAGGGCCACTTCCCTGGCAGAACCCAACCATCCACCAACCCTGGGTTTACCGCGATCTCAATGTCTCTCCCTCTATACATACCCCACTTGTCCCACCCCACCGGCTCCATTTTCCTGGACAGTAGGGGTTAGTGTTGGTTCTAGAGTTTTCAGAGTGACAAATACTGAGTGCTCGTTAGAAGCTGGTACAGGTAGCCAAAGGGGGGTCAGCTGCAGTGGCCTTGGTGTGGGGTTGGGGAGCTCGACACTGCCCCCACATTGGGGAGACCCAACCGTGCTGCTTTCTGTGGGGGCTGCAGACACCACACCCCCCTCAAAGGCCATTTGAAGCCACCCAAACTAAGGCAGAGTCTAAACTTTGGGGCTGGTTTTGCTAGACCCACCTGCCCTGACCTAGCAGGGACTAGAATGTGGGGGATGGTAGAGAAAAGAGGGATGATGAGAAGAGCAATGTAGGGTGGCACCTGCCTCAGGGATCCCCCAACTCCCTGTTGAACTCAGTGCATCAACTGGACTAGTGTCACCCTCTGGATCCTGGGACAGTCACATCAAGGGCACCCTCTCCTCTGTCCACAGCCTGCAGAGCAATTCCATCAGTGACGCAGGAGTGGCAGCGCTGATGGGGGCCCTCCGTGCCAACCAAACCCTCCTCAGCCTCAAGTGAGTCCCACCTTCCCTCTCCAACCAGGTACCCCTGTGGCCAGGGAATCTAGAGGTACTGTGGGACTCGGAAGGCAAGGCTGGCGCTGGGAAGTCCACAGCTACCCCTGCAGGCTGGTTATGGGGAAGATGAATGGTTGGGCAACTTGGTTCTAGAGCTGGCATCCTGCACACTTCCTGCTCTCGGGAGGGCAGGGGCAGCTGTGGCCCTCGGTTCTGAGGCTCCCTTTAGGCACCCAAACACGCCTGCCTGTCCCCCACAGCTCTGGAAGGCCAGGTCCCACCGGAGATTTCTCTGGTTCTGAAAGCCTGAACACCTGGGCTTGTCTCCCCCCGAGGCCTCATTGGCCTGGTCAGCAGCTCAAGGTCTTCTCTTTCCTCAGCCTGCGAGAAAACTCCATCAGCTCAGAGGGAGCCCAGGATCTGGCTCGAGCTCTCTGCACCAACAGCACCCTGAAGAACCTGGAGTACGTGAGTGGGGGGCAGGCTGTGCTCCCTAAGGTTTCTTTATGCCCAGGGCCTCCTCCGCCCAGAGCACAGGGTCTGATGGGCCAGGCCCTTGTCACCCTTGCCCTTGTACAAGGACGGAGAAGGGCCTGGCTGGGAGGGGGTGGCCAGGAGACCTGGCCCCTGGTGGCAACCCTGACACAACTTCCCCACTCTCCTGTCATACATTACACAAGGATGCAGTTAGCGGTGACTCTGCCTGACCTCCTCCCCCCTGTCCTGTGGTGATGGCCAAGCATGTGGAAGGGGTCATGTCATGAGGGGCAGCATAGTACAGGGATCAGGAGTGGGTCCTTGGGCACCTCTGACACCTCCTTGTGGGTGATCTATCCTGGAACCTCCCTGAACTGAGGCTGCGCCCACCCCCATGCAGTTGTACGGATTTGGTACAATAGTCGAGGCACACGCCTGGCACAAGCAAATGCTCCATCAGCGTGAGCTCGGCCATCCTAGCAGATCCAATGCAGTCTTTGAGTTGAAGGGGGGAAGTCTAGACTCCCCGGGGAGCAAGGACAAGGGACCTCACTGCCAGCTCCTGCTCACTTGCCTCTGTTCCCCTCTTCCCAGCCTGACAGCCAACCTCCTCCAAGACCAGGGCGCCCAGGCCATCGCAGTGGCAGTGAGAGAAAACCGCACCCTCACATCCCTTCAGTGAGTCCTCGGCGCCCCCACCCACCCCGTCTCTGGTCCCCTCTGCAGAGCTACAGGACTACACCCAAACCACCTGTTGCAGGAGACCAAGCCCAGCTTTAGGTGCCCCCACATTCTCAGGGGCCTCCTGCAGGCTGCAGGCAGGCACCTGCAGAGGCTGCTGGCCCTGCTCCCTGCTCTGCTTCCTGAGGATGATCCACAGAGAGGCCAATGGGTGCCCACGGCTGTGCCTCCGTGTCACAGGCTTCACTCAGCGGCCATCGGGAGCCTTTATTTGAGCCTGTCCCTGTGCCCACCCATAACCAGAGGGTGAATGCTGATCCCTTGGGACCAAGCCCGAGGAAGACTGCAGTTTTGCCCATCAGTGGCCAGAACCCTTCCTGCAGGGACTCGATCCCCTAGTGTCAGACTCTCCTGGGAGGAGCCCCCTCTTTCTGGAGCCCCAAGACCTCCTGGGCTCTGCCCTGGGTGACACGGTCATATGGTCTGTGTCTGCCCAGCCTGCAGTGGAACTTCATCCAGGCCAGTGCCGCCAAGGCCCTGGGACAAGCACTACAGTTCAACAGGAGCCTGACCAGCCTTGAGTAAGTGGGGCCTCCACAGGGGCCACGGGGAGGGCAGGGGCGCAGGGGGATCTGAAAGCGTGGTGCCCACCAGGTGCAGGGCTCATGCCCTCAGCACACAGCCTCCTCTGCCCTAAGGCCACAGGCATGTTTCCATCCTCATCTGCTTTTTAAAAATAATAACAGCTTTATTGAGATATAATCTACCCATTTAAATGTGTACAATTTACTGGTTTCTAGTATATTCAGCTGCGCAACCATCATCACAGTCAATCTTAGAACATTTCCATCCCCCTAAAAGGAAACCGTATCCATCAGCAGTCACTTCCCCTTCTCCCCTGCCCCTGGCAACCACTAATTTACTGTCTCTATGGATTTACCTCTTCTTGACACTTCATATAAATGAAATCACACAGTATGGGGTCTTTCGTGACTGAGGTCTCTCATTTAGTATGTTTTCAAGGTTCATTCACATTGTTGTATGTGTCAGTACTTCATTCCTTTCATGACGAAGTAACATTCCACTGTATGGATGGCACACATTCTGTTTATCGATTCATCTTTTGATGAACACTTGGGTTGTTTCCAATTTTTGGTTATTATGAATGCTGCTGCTATAAACATTAATGTACACGTTTCTGTGTGGACGTAAGCTTTCGGTGGTCTTGTGTACATATCTGGGTACGGAATTGCTGGGTCAAATGGTAACTGTTTAACCTTTTGAGTCTCATGTGCTTCTGATGCTGACTACTTTTCCCTCAGTTTCCAGGATGTTCTATCTCTGGCATAGTTCTTCTGTTTGAGTCTGAAATACTGGTGTTCCTCAGGGTTTTGTCCTAGGCCACCTTCCCTTGAGTGACATTTATTTTCTGGAAGCGCTCCTCCTCTCCCAGGTTCCAATTGCCTTCAAAGTCCTGATGGCCCCACCTCTATATCCCAGGTCTCTCTCCTGAGTACCGAACCCATGTGTCCACTGCCCACTCCGCACCTCCCCTTGCATGTCTCACAGGTGCTTCAAATTGCCTGGCTTATCTTCTCCACAAGCCTGTTTCTTGGTTCCCCATCTCACGAATAGAACCAGCCAACCAACTATGCCAAGTAGATATACTGCCTTCATTCTTTTCCAAGTCCAGTCGATTCATTTCCCAGTGCTATCGATTCTCCTCCCAATGTCCCACCCCCATGGCCACTGTCCAGACCACCAGCGTCACTCACCTGTATCACCACAGCAGCCTCCACACCCAGTTCATCCTCTCATACTGCTGGCCAACATCTTTCCAAAACACACATCTGTCCCTGTCCTGGTGAGACGTTTCAGTGCCTGCTCAGTGCCTGCAGAGGGAAGCTGACCTTTAGCATGGCTTCTAGGGCCCCCAAACATCTACTGCCTTTGCACCCCCTCAGCCTCACCTCGTACTCCAGACTTGACTCAATTTCACTGGGTTCCTTAGATGTGCTAGGCCCTCTCCCCCATCTCTTATTCAGGTTTTGGTTCAGAAATTGGTTCAGACCTATTTCTTCTGGGCAGCCTCTGTGATCACCCTGGGTTGGGAGACCCTGCAGGGTCCTCCCTGCAGGCTGCATGAGGTCTCTGGTGACTGCTCATGTAACCATGTCTTCCTGCCTGAGTTCCAAGTGGGCAGAATTGGGCTTGCTAATACACAATGAACAGTCAATGTCTGTTAAAATCATTACGCAAACTGCTCCCTTAAACACGCCAGAGTCCACTTGAACTAAGCTCAAGGGCCAGCTACTTCTTCCAATGTGGAAAAGATGAAAAACGCTGACTAGTAAGAATAGCCGAGGGATCAAGGGCTTCAATTTAGTTTTCTGGTTGGCTTTGAAAAGCATCCCCTATTTTGTCCCAAACCCTTGGTGACAGTACTTTCACATGTCCCTTTTCTTGTTTGCTTCTCGGGTCCAGGCCCCAGACCCCTCTACATGTTCATTAGGAGGCCATGGGACTGCATTGGCCACATGGGGTGACCCTGGGAGTCTAGTCTATAGTGTGTGTGTTCTGAATTAAATAGAAGGTCCAAGCTCAGCTAAGCACATCATGCAAGAAAGCCGGCCCTGTGCCCCATGCACCCCGGGGTCACTCTCAATGTGTTCAGTTTACAGGAGAATGCCATCGGGGATGAAGGCGCCTGTGCAGTGGCCAACGCGTTGAAGACAAACACAGCCCTCACTGCTCTCTAGTAAGTCCTGATGTGCACGGCAGCTCAGGGAGCCAGCCCTTCACCACCCTTTCATATAAAACACCATTTCTGTTACCCAGTCAAGGAAAGTGTGTTCGATTTTCCTAATATTAGCAATCATGCAGCAAACATCTAGAAAGTTAGAATTAGGGGTACAGGGAGTGTTCTCCCCAAAACTCTCAGGGAAACTACCTCTACTTCCTGTGCCCACAGTATCCAGATCTGTCCTAGACACCAGTGTAGGTAGGAGATGCAGTGTTCTTTGGACAGAGCACAGGTCAACAATTTTCAGTGTTATTTCACCACTTTCAGCCCTAAGTCAAGGGGTGGTGAAAACAAAGGATGAGTATGGACGGAAGCTGGGCCTGGGGCAGGTGGGAGGGCTGAAGAGGCACAGACTTTCTGTGGTGACAGAATCTTCTCTTATAGTCTCCAGGTGGCCTCCATTGGTGCCTTGGGGGCCCAGGCCCTGGGAGAGGCCCTGACTGTGAATAGAACCTTGGAGATTCTCGAGTAAGTATTTCAGTCTCTGGCTGCAGTCTCTTGCCCAAAGAAACCAAGCTGTTGATTCAAAATGGATATGGAAGAGAAATAAAATGTCAACTTACATGAAACTCACCAATCATTTAAATAGCTTCACTTAGATCAAGCATGCCCCAGCTGTCCCCTTCGCACTTCGTCCTATTCCCTGGGAGTCACTGTGGTTGGTCCTCCTCTCCTTGAGTACCTGCTCTTCCTGGTCTGGTCCAGGCTGAACACATCCCGAGGCCCTGGTGTGGTCTGTGACCACGGATCTAGGTCTTTGAGATCCAAGAGTTTGAGGCCTCAAGCTCTGTGGGGCTCTCAGGCATGTCCAGGTCATCCCTGCTCCTGCAGTTCTAGGATGCCAAGCACACAGGGACCGCCGGACAGTGTCTCCTCTACCTAGTTCTCCTTTCTTTGAAATGGAAAAGGAGCATGAAGGCTCCAACCACCAGCCAGATTGGGTCAGCTCACCCCCTCCTGAATGTCCTCGTTTGCTCCCCAGGAGTGAGGAAGGAGCAACCTAACCCCATGGCTGCTGAGTCCACACTGCCTCTATTCAGTAGCCCACGCACATCTGAAGATGTAGCATTGTCATTGTGCCTTACCGTTCCTCTTTCCTGACAGCTTAAGAGGAAATGCCATTGGGGTGGCCGGAGCCAAAGCCCTGGCAAACGCTCTGAAAGTCAATTCAAGTCTCCGAAGAATCAAGTGAGTGGTTATAGGGTCCTACCTGTGCCCAAGAGCAGACGACTTCTGCTGCTGGAACCTCCCCCATGAGATAAGATGCTCTTGATTTCCTCTGTAGCTGCTTCCTTCTGAATAGAAATAGTTCAGACTGTTCTGGTTACTATAGTCCGAATATAGCTGCAGATGATTTTTGTTCATTCTGCCTAGCGTAAGTCAGAGGTAAGTTATTTAACATCTGCTTTTTTGGTCTTACACCTTTCATGGCACTTGGACAGAACCACCTGGCTCCCTGTAGACTCTGGTCTCAGGGTTAAACACCACCTTGCTGTTGCTGTGGCACCAGTGGACATATCTGCTCCAGAACTGCCCAGCATAATGAATGCAATGCTGCTTCCTGGGGTTGTTCTTCAGTACTAAATGGTTCACTGTGGTGTCTCCATCTTTTCTCTGCCTAGCCTTCAAGAGAATTCCTTGGGGATGGATGGGGCAATATGTGTTGCCAATGCACTGTCTGGAAACCATGGGCTCCAGCACATCAAGTGAGTGGGGATCAGAAGTATCTGCGCTTTCCTGCCATTCTCGTTCACCTTTAGAACTGCTCCCAGGTCAGGCCCTACCTTCTGCCCGATTCTCAGAGCCAGCTGACACCCAGGCTCCTCAGTAGCTCTGGAAGGGAACCTGGTATAAGAGGAAGCCATTCAGAGCCTTGTCCATAGGAGGGATCCAAGAAGCACAAAGGTTTCCCCCAGAGTTCTGCACTTTATGTAGTGGCCACCTGCTCTTTACTAAAGCAATCCTACAGGCCTCTAGCCCTTCAGCCAATATCTTAACTTGTCCTAATTCTTCTCTTCTAGTCTCCAGGGAAATCGTATTGGGGAATCTGGTGCCAGGATGATTTCAGAGGCTATCAAGACAAATGCTCCCTCATGCACTGTTGAAATGTGAGCCAAACCAGTTCCTGGTGGACCAGGCAGGAGGATGGGCAGAGACACAGCTAGAAGCTTTCAAACAAAAATACCATTTTCCAGGGTGCCTTCCTGTGGTCTGGGAATGCCACTGACCTGCATGTTAGCTGATCTCGGGCAAGGAGGCAGGAAAGGTACTGCCAAAGGTCATGGGCACCTCTCCTGGTCCAGGGTCAGTCCGGGCCCTCTTGAGATGGACACTCTGCTATGGCACACAGAGGTCTTCCACCAAACAACCCAGGAACCTAGGCTTTAAAGCTCAGCAAGTAAGAAGCTAGTCTGAATTTATTCATACCTTGAGGTCTTCATGTGACCCCAACTTTGTTTTTATTATTGCCTTTTTACACTCACTTAGTGAAAATCATCCCCCTCCCCCTGGAATGAGTTGCCATCTTCCAGCCCATTAAGAGTATCAACTTGGTAGGGGCCGGCCGAGTGGCTGAATTGGTTAAGAGCTCGCTCAAGAGTTTGAGTTCTGAGCAACAACGGTTTGATTGCCGGCCCGAGCTGAGCAGCCGCTGAGCTGCCAACAGGTGGCAGGATGGCTCAGCTTAAAAAAATAAAATAAAATAAGAGTACCAACTTGGCATTGGTGACAGAGGGGACCTCTCTTTCTTTTCTCAAAAAGAAAAGGTTTTAGGAGTATGGTCCTTAAGAGATATATGGGAAAATTATGGGAATTTTTTGAAGAGAAATGAAGGCTTTATAATTATAGAATTCTGGAGATAGAGACCAAAAAAAAATACTTTCTCCAAGGTTTTTGCCATCTTTTATCCATTACAAAATCCTTTTTAAACATGGATTATGTCTGGCACATGTTCTTTGGACTCTGCCACACTGGTTATCAACAGCACATTAAATGTCCATGCCTTAACAGTGCTGTTCTACGTTGGGCTTCCATAGCTACCACTGTGGCTGCAGCTTCCCTCTGAAGACAAGCGAGCTGAGCTTCCGCGTGGCATCAATCCCCGCAGACGTCTGTTTGTGTTGAAAGGGAAAAGATCCCAAATGGACACCACAGCTCTCATCAACGAAATAACCAAGGGAAATGCTTATGAAGATTATAAAATATCATTTTTATATTTGAAGAGGAAGCAATGTTGTCCCAAATGTTTCTTTGAGTATTCAGGCAAGAATCATCAATGGATGCTAAAACCATGAATGAAAGCCTATTAAGGAAGAAGATATCCACAGTCTCAAAGTATCACCCCACAAAGGGTGTTTATAAGGGGGAAAAGATACCTTAAATAGAGAACTTTTAAAAGTGCTGCCTTAACAAAGTGATTAAACTTAATCACCAATAATGGGACAAATGGACATCAGGGGCCCCTGTGATACACTGAGAAGGACACATCACTGATGTAGTATTCTTGCCAAAAAGGTTTACCTGAATCTAAGCCAACAACATCCAAATTAAGGGACATTCTGCAAAACCACCAACCAAACAACTAGCCTGACCTCTTCAAAAATGTAAATGTCATGAAAAATAAACAAGACTGGGGACTGTTTTAAATTGAAGAAGACAAAACAACTTAATGTAAGCTCTTTGATTGGATGCTAGACTGGAGGGGGGAAAAATCAGTTATAAAGAACATCACTTGGAAATTGGGGACATTTGAACATGAGTCTTGTGTAGTATTTATTGGATTAGCTCTTCTAAAAGATATTTTTGCTGGATATAAAATTCTACATTGAAAGTTTTGTCTTCAGTACTTCCTAGATGTTGCTATATTGTCTTCTGGTTTGTGCTATTTCTGGCTGAGTTGAGAACTCAACAGAACAAGAGCTGCAGTAGCCAAATGTTGGAGAAAGGTGTGCCATGCAGGAACCTAGCACTGGAGAAAGCAGTAGAGAAAAAGTGCGCTCTCCAGGGATTTTGAGATCAAGCCACACTAGAACTGGGAGAGCCTCTACCTCCTCTAAAGTCGCTCGAGCACCCTCTGCTGACAAGGCTTAACATCTTGCTGGCTGACAAAGGAGAAACATTACAAGAAATAGCTCCGTTATCATAGAGCAGGCCAAAAGGTGAATTTGCAGCTGAGGCAATAAACTGATAGCCAATAGCCAGCACAGTGGGATTTGTCTTGTTTTACATTTTGGACAGTTTCTACTGCTATTCTGTCTTCAAGGTCAGTCATGTTTTCTCCTGCAGTGTCTGATCTACTCTTAATCCCAGTTTGTATAGTTTCATCTCCTTTTTTTAATCTCTAGAAGTTTTGTTTGAGGCTTTCTTTATACCTTCCATCTCTCTCCTTAATATGCTCATGCTTTCCTCTACAATCTAAATATATAGAATGTAATTATAACTGTTTGAATGTCTTTTTCTACTAATTCTATCATCTATCATTTCTGGGTTTGTTTGGGTTTTTTTGCCTGTTTCTTGATTTTTCTCATTATGCCTGGTAATTTTTTTATTGGATACCAGACATTGGGAATTTTACCTTTCTGGGCACTATTTTTATATTCCTTAAAATATTCTTGAGCTTTATTCTGGGACTCAATTACTTAGAAACAGTTGAATCTTTTCAAAACTTGCTTTTAAGCTTTGTTAGCCAGGATCAGCCATTCTTTATTCTAGGGCTACGTGGGCCCACCTTCTGAAGCAATGCCCCAGTATTCTGGGTACTCTACCTGATGCCCAAGTCAAGAAAACTATCTATCTACAATAGACACTGTAGAAATCCAGGTGTAAAAGATTGTGAAATCAGCTTTAGCTTTCTTACCCTAAATAGTAGCATCTACCCAACTGGTTACCTGGTATGCATGTTTTCAATATAAAGTATGAATTTAAGCAGAATGACTCCTAATGTAGACTTTACTTCATCAATTTCTCTGTCATTCAACCCCTCCCATTCCATGACCGGGAGTTCCCTTCAGCTAAAAAACATGTTTCCTTGCATAAATAAATAAATAAATGCAAGCACTCTGCCCCTCCAAAATCTTCTTTGCCCTCTCTTCTCACTTGTGACCAGCCACTTTTCTGAACAGTCATCAATACTCACTGTGTTGATTTCAAACTCCAGCCTCTTTTCAACCCATCAATTGCTATCTGACTTCTGGCTAAAGTCACCAGAGATTTCCTAATTGTCAACATTAATGGCCTTTCTGACTCAACTTCATTTGCGACAAGGACCTAGCACTTGTTCACCTCTCTCTTCCTTGGAAATTCTCCCCTGCCTTGGCTTTCATAACATTACAACCTTCCAATCCTCCTGCCCTCTCCTTACCACTCTTCTTCAACACTCTTTGAAAAATTAAAAGTACTTTTTCCTAATTATTAAAGTAAAATATAGTCACTTTAGAAAACTTAGAAAATACTTTCCCAGCCTCTTTTTCTGGCTCTTTGGTGGACTTTTCCCTTTAGACACAGGTGTCTCTCAGGTTTTCACCCTTAGCCCTCTTCTCATCCCACATGTTTTCTCCTGAGGAATCTGATATGCAAATGATCCAGCCCTTACCTCTTTCCTGTCGGTATATTTATCTTTTTAAAAATTCATATTCATCAAAGCAACATACATAGTAATACACATAGTTTACAAAGCCAAAGAGTATTGCTAGGTTTATAATGGAAAACAGCAATCTTTTGTCCTGTTCCTCCCCTTTTTGAATACCCCACCTCATAAAACTAAGTATCCTACATACACTATTTCTTGCTTTATCATTTTAGAGAGTATCTATTGACTTTCTAGTATGGGAAATGGCACTTGTTACGTACACCTTATATCCCTACTTTTTGTTTCTCCATCCTTTCAACATTGTTATAGCACGATTTTTAGTTAAATCATTATTTAATGTTTATCTTACGACTTTATTAGTACTGATCATTGCTGAGCTATTTTCTTCCTATATAATTGTTCTGTCTAGAATTAACAGCTGCATTATTTTTAAAATTTACTTAACATTCTATGTCACTACTGCTTAATCTTTCCAAACTGTCCAATCGAAGTGTAAAATCTAAACACTATTTCTTACAGACGCATTGGTTATTCGGTTAGTTCCGTTTTTCCCTAATGGCATCTCTTCTTGAACCCTTTGTCTTCCTGCTCCAGTCACATCCTTACGGAAAGACTTTTGTTCTGAGTAGGAGGTAGAACCTTTTAGTTCCCTTCCAATTCAACCAGTCCTGGATTCTAGCACCCAAGAGTCTCCTGGGCCAATCTAACAGCTGTGATATTTATGTAGTATGTTGCTAACCTAGAGAGACACACTTTCCCTTCAGTTTGACACTGATACTATAGTTTAAAATGCTAATGAAAGAGATCTTGCATTTATTTCTTCTTGCCCCAGCTAAAATGGAAACAAGTTCTTCAGATAGCTAACTGGAAGTCCCTAGACTTTGTTCTTGATGGCTACTCCAATAAAAACAGAGGACTTAAAAACTTCCTCTATATCTTCTGTCAATACACATATTTTAAAGCATTTTAATAGATTCTTTAATTTACACAGTTAAAAAAAAACTGTCAGCAATGCTTGTTTTTCATTGACCTAATCATACAATTTTCTTCGGGGCCTGAGTCTGCTCTGCTGTTTGGCTAAATCCAAATGACACCACGTCACAAAGCACTTGCACATATTTGACTCCTGGAGCCATTACAGTGACCGAAATACACTACTAACTATGATCAAGTACTTGAAGCCCCTTTGTTGACAGAAGCTGCTGAAGTCAGGAAGTGCCATACCAACATGAGACTGCACAAAGTCAGTTAACCAAAGGATGAAGGAATCACCCTTTACAGCTGTTGCCGCTACCTGTGGATGTGTTATCTGTAGCTTGGGTCAGACTTCCATGCTAATCCCCATTAGAAGAAAGCAGCACATAAGAAAAACATATACATTTTTAGGTTTTTTTTCAAAATATAAGTCAGGCCAGACTCAGGAAAACCAAAGCTATAACATCCAAGAAGATGCAGTGACTCTTTTGCTCTGAGGTAATTAGCATGGTTCCCATCACACCTATTCCCATTTAGCTTATCATTTTAAAGATGGCACATCTCAAATTACTGGTGAATTCACTGAATGCAGAATGTTTAAAAAAAGGGGTAATCTCATCCATAAAACTTAGGAAAATAAAGGGGAAAAAAGCAAAGATGATAAAAGTAATTGTCAGTCTCCTAAAATTTACATGTATCATATTAACCTGTGAAATTTTCTTGAGTATTTATGTTATTGGTGCAAATAAACAAAATAATTATAGTTTCAAGTAAAACTTATTTAATAATATAAAAATATGGTATTAAATACATGTATTAAGAGATAAGTAACTTCAGGACTCTTCTGACTTTATAATTGAAAAAGAAATGAAAACTGTTCTGTGCTTTCCATATTAAAAAACCAAAACAACGCCACCTATCTGTCACTTCTCATTTCACAACAGGGAAATTCTAGTGCTACTCCACCTAATTCAATTCTGGTTTATTTTTTTAAATCAGAAGCACGAATCTGTACTAACATGTTTTCCTTAATTTGATTTCCTAAAAAAGAATGTCAGCCTTCTGATATAAAATCGAGTATTTATAATCTGGAGGATCTATGTGTTGCCTGACTTTCAAGAAAAATTGGTTTTCATCTAACTTAGCTAACTTTCACTCAGAAAATTTTAGTAAAATAAATTTAAAGCTTGGTATTGTGAGCATGCAGAAGAAAATAAGACTATAAAATGAAATAAAGGCTAGAATTAAAAGCTTATAAATTGTACAAGATATTAATAGTCAGACACTCAGCTATAATTCCTAAAGTGAGTTCTTGTACCCAGTCCCAGCCCCACGTCTGTCCCTCTGACTCTCAGAGGAAATGTGTAACAACGATAGCCAAGACTCACATAGAAACTTATTTCTCCTCAAGTTTTTGTCCTGTGGATGTGAATAACTAAGAACACATGCATTTCCCAAGTTTTAGGAGATAAATGAGGAAAAGAAAAGAAAAATCATCTTTGGGGTTCGCTCTGGTTCTTGTTAAGCTTCATGGAGTAACACATAGGAGGCTAAGAGAAAACAGGTATTGCTTCATTAACAATGAGTCCAGCAGGCTTAGGGAACAAAATATGTTTCCTTTCTAACCTTCTAAGTTCCTGTTTACCTACAAATCTGAGGGTTTTAATCTGCCTGGGTCCTTTGGCAAGAAGGTCAGAAGTCATTGTCACTCTCATCCAGGGGCTCAGGTTTCCGGACCCTTTGACTGGGCTTAGCTGGTGAGAGAGCAATGCTCTCATCTTCCAAATCGTCGTCGTCTTCTTCATCATCTTCCATGTCAATCTCACTGTCCTCTGAGTCTTCCTATAGGAAAAAGACAGCAAATACAACTGAGGGTCCCATCTCGTTCCTGACACCTTGTTGGTGAGACTGTACTTCACTTTTTTACTAGTAGACCAAAACCTAGCAACACCTCCACGTGAAGAAAGAGATTGGCAGAGAAGCGTCAGGCGTAAGAGCAGACCAGCATCTAGATGTTGCTGGCTGGAATACATAGATTACTGTATCTTCTACCAGTAACCTTCAAACACCAACGTGCAATCCAAGACTGGCGCTGCAGGGGCTGGCTTTCCCACTGACGTCTCAGGAGCAACAACGGACCTGCATCGAGGTTCGCTGGATGCTGCTTTGTTCCTGATGGCCCAGAGACCCACCAGTGGAAAGCAAGGAGGGTGGAAACTTGAGAGAGGGAAAAGGGGCTTATTTCAGCTTTTGCCAGACTGGAGATGGAAAGCCACACAGAAAATGGGCATAAGGAGCCACACAGGAACTGGGTGTCCCAGGTAAACCAGGATGGTCAGTCACGCTATCTAAATCATTCCTAACACCATACATATATGCTACAATTTTCTTCTTAAAAAATGAAACAAAACCCCCCCTAAAACTCAATCCTACCTTCCTCTCCAGCTACTCTGCCCTGTTTCTCTATTCCTCTCACAACAAAAGCTCCTTGAATGAGTTCTGAACTCACCATCCCCGCCTGTTCCCCTCTCACTGCCTCTTTAATTCTAGTCAGGCTCTCACTCCAATCCCCCTAAACTGCTCTTGTCAAGGCTGATACGCTCAGTGGATTCAAATCCAATGGCTATTTCTCCATCCTCCTGTTTGACCTATGGGCTCCTCCTTCCCTGGCATCCACTTTCTGTCCTCCAGAGCACCCTTCTCTCTGGGTACTTGCCCCACCTCACTCCAGCAACTTCTGTCTCACTTGCCCGACCCGCTTCATCTCCCTGACCTCCACAATGCAGGGTCGGTTCGAAGCCTCGGGCCTTCTCTCTTCTCTTTGTTCTCTCTCCCCAAGCAATCACATATATCCTTGCTTTAAGACCACCTAGATATGAACATCTCCCCCAGCGTAATCTCCAGCTCAGACCTGACCTTTGAACTCCAGATTTAAATTTCAACTGGCTCCTCAGCACCAGCATGTGGATGTCTAACAGGCAACTCACACTTAGCATCTCCAGAGCCAAACTCTCAGTCTGCTCTCCAAGCCCCTCCCTCAGGTCTGCCCCAGCGCGGGAAATGAAAATTGTGCTTTCAGCCAATTATGCCACAATCTAGGCATCCTTCATTCTCTTTAACACCCCGTGTCCAATTAACAAAACCTGATGGCTCTTACCTTGGAAACATATTCAGAATCTCCCAACACCTCCGCTGCTACCACCCGAGGCTAAGCCACTGCCACCATCGCCTCTGAACTAGACTACTACAAAGGCATCTCTGAAATGTCAGTTCTTGGCACTCCTGGGCTAAGGATTCCCCAGCATTTTCCCATTGTACTCAGAGAAGACGCTGACTCCTCATCTCATCCTGCACAGCCCTGCACAGCCCCTGCCGCCTCTCCTGCCGCTCCTCCCCCGCAGTTCACTCCAGCCCAGTCATACCCGCCACCTCTGGTCCTCAAATGCAGAAACCATATTCCCTGTGACCAGGATGCCCTTCCCAGCACCAAGCCCCTGCTTGCATTCAGGCCTCTGCCCAAAGGTCACCTTATAAGAGACCTTCTCTGACCAATCAAAAGGCATCCTCATTCCTGTCACTCAGTTTTCAAACCTGGTTTATTTTTCTTCTTACCACTATGACCCCTGATGGATCTGCGTCACTCCTGCGGGACTGTAAGCTTCAGGAGGCCTTGTTTCTAGTCACTGCTATATTTCCTACAACCCATAACAACACCAGGCACATAACAGGCCCCCAATAAATATCTGTGGAGTGACTGAGTGAACACATGAAGGACAAACCTCCATGCCTAGTTGGGGTAGGTGGAAACAGCCTCCCTGAAAAAAACAAGCAACAACAGGCACACAAGAGATTTTAGCCACAATAAATCATCTGTTCTGAAAAGTAGAAAGCTATAAAAATGATCAAGCAAATCATAATAAAAAGGCCAGACAGTGCTCTCCAGGCATCAGTAGCTGCCACACCAGACTTTCCCTATCTCTGTCATAGATGGGTAAGACAGGTGGATACAAGCTGTTTAGCCAGCCAACCCCTACCTTAAAACTAAGTGGTTTCTCTGCTTCTCTAAAGGCTGTTTTCTATGTATTCAAGGCTCTATCTTCTCTATGCATCTTGTCCAGCAAACCTGAGTGACCTCTCTCTCCTGTGAATTTCTGTGACAGTACATACTGCTGGTACTAAATAAATGGATCTTTGGTATAAGAACATAAGGCCCAGGCCGGCCGAGTGGCTCAGTTGGTTAAGAGCTCACTCAGAGTGTGAGCTCTGAGCAACAGCAGTTCGAGTGCCGCCCGAGCTGAGCTGCTGCTGAGCTGCCAACAGGTGGCAGGATGGCTCAGCTAAAAAAAACACCACAAAAAAACGTAAGGCCCATGCTCTGTCTCTGTGCAGCCACTAGTGCCACACCCCAGACACATGCTGCATTCAACTTGATGGGAAGGTCTATGATCTGTGTCAGTCTAGTCACCCTTTGCCTCTTGGGACTCACAGCACTGCCAGGGTCTGCAACAAAGCAGGAAGGCCCAGAGTGACAGATGGTATAGCTCCACCAGCTGGGCCCCTTGTCTTCCCATTCTGATTCATTTCCCAGTCAGTTATCTACTCAATAACGCTCAAGGTGCCCACAGCCTCTTGTCCAGCCTCTAAGGCCCTGGTCTCAGGAAAGCCTCCTTTTTACGTTCCCTCCCCAGGGTGGAGCTGAAGAGAGGGCTGGTCTGGACCCTGGGAACTCAGCAGCATCCTTTTCTTTCTAGTTAACAGTTCAAGGGCCAGATAATTCCCCAAGCACGACCATTCTTGTCTTTTGACTCAGTGCCCATTCCTCCTCCTTAGCATAGGGAACCTTTAGGTAATTTCACCATTCACTGTGGGATCCATTTTGAGTGGCTTTTTGCCCAGGAGACAGGGGCATCACTTTTGGGGAAGGCTCTCTGCTAGCCCTGAGTGGGTGTATACACACACACACACACACACACACACACACACACACACACACACACAAATGGATGAGATGAAAAAGAAAACCAACCTGCTTCTTGGAGCTGGAAGTCTTGCATTTACCTAACAGAGCTGGTGCTGCTTCCATCTTTGGAAAGCGAGAATGGAAAGAACATGAGAAGGAAAAAAAAAAGTAGGGCAAGCAGGTTCATTTGAAAAGAAATGAGCCATCAACAAGCAAAGAAGACAGTTCCGCTTCTTGGGAGACCAAACTCTGCCACAAATCCAGTGACTGGCAGGGCTGAGAAGCCACACCTCAAGCTAAGACTGGAAGACATGCTTAGCTCCTGGCTAATCAAGTCTATGAGGCCAACTTCAGACCAGAAGGAACACAACTGCTAAAAGGGGCTGGTCAGGACTCACATCATCATCAGAGTCTCCACCTTGCATTGTGCCCACGATGCGTTTGCTAGGTCTTCCTGGAAGAAACAAAAGCATAAAGAAATTGCAAAACCCTTGTATGTATGGTATGAAATTTCATAAGGTATGAAATGGCATTCAAGACTTGCTTTCTGGGCTGGCCAAGTGGCGCATTCGTTAAAAGTTGGCTTGGGATGCCAGCTCTGAGCAGCAGGGCCCCGGTTAGGATCCCACATGAGGGCCAGTGACGCTGCACCTTCTACAGCTAAGATGGTGAACAACAGCTTGACCTGGAGCTGCGCTGTCGTGAGTCACTGGTGACGGCATTGGCTAGAGTGAAGCTGTAGTGGGCTGCCATAAGACGGCCAGTGTGAGTGGCTGGCAGCTGGTGTGAGTTGCCAAGGGCTGCCGTAAGCGGCTGTCCAGATCTGCCTCACCTGGGAAGAGCGCAATGATAATACCAACATGGGCCAGTGAAGCGACGTCCTCCACAACTAGACTGAAGCACAACAAAAGTTGTCTGTTCCCCTTCCCCAATTCCCCAATAAAATCTAAAAAAAAAAAAAAGATTTGCTTTCCTTTAGAAAATTGGGAAAAAGAGGAGGATCATAAAAAATTTACTCATGTAGCATCCAACTAATGAGAACTATCAACAAATGGTAATAGAATTTCTGCATTTCCACATTGAAAAAAGGAAAAGGGCAGTAAAATGTAAACATGAGTCATAAATCAGAAAAACAAAGATGCATCATTTCCATGTCTTAAGGATAAATCACTGAACCTCATTATTAGTTTATACTCAGAATAGGTATGCTATCTGTTGAAAAAAAGATATATTTTTCTCACTTTATGGACCAGTTTCACCTGTACTTTGGTCTGAGCTTCAAAAGAAAAAAAGTCGAACTATCACAATTAGATGCCTTTAAAAACACCATCACTATCTGAGTGATTCTCCACTCATCTTTGGGAAGCTGATGTCTAGATATGACTTCTACAAACAATCAGGAAAGAGGTGTCATTCCCTGAGGGCAGTCAGAGTGCTGCTCTCACACCCGAAGGCTGAGTAGGAACACCCATAAGCCCAGGGCCAGGCCTCTGAGGGCAGCTCAGGGAGGAGCTCACTCAGGACAGGCCTGGATGTGACCACCAAGAACTATTTACAGAAATTTCTCCTGGGTCAGATGAAATGCAAATGTTGTACTGTTTCACTCGTGCAGTGAGTGGTCAGCAGTAGAATTTAGGAGCATCGGTGCCTTTACTAGGTTCTACTGAGCCAATCACATGCCTGTTTGGAGCCTTGGCTCCCATATGTAGAATGGGAGTTATAACCTCTACCTACTATTGATGTCATGAAGCTCTTAAAAAATAAAGGGAAGAAAAAAGAAATCAGAGCATCTAACTATCCTATGAAAAAAGCAAGATGCAATAAAGACAGCTAGGCCTAGAATAAAAGAAAGCAGTTAACAACAAAAGTTAATATAAGGTCTGGCCGAGTGGCACGTTGGTTAAGAGCTGGCTTGGGAGGCCAGAGGGCCTCGGTTCGGATCCCACATGAGGGCCAGTGACACTGCCCTCTACAGCTAAGATGCTGAACAACAGCTCAACCTGGAGCTGGGGAGATGTGAGTCACCGGCGACCGGCGACAGCGGAGGCTGCAGCCCCTGCTGCAGTGAGTTGCCATGGGCTACCGTGTGTAGCCAGCAGCCAGCATGAGCGGCCAGCAGCCAGCATAAGCGGCTGTCCAGAAGCCGGCGACTGATCTGCCTCGTCCGGGAAGAGCGCAATGATGGTCCCAACTTGGGCCAGTGAAGCAACGTCCTCCACAACTAGACTGAAGAACAAAAACGACAGCAACTTGTCTGTTCCCCTTCCCCCAATTCCCCAGCACTGTTCCCATCCCCCTAATTCCCCAATAAAAATCTTAAAAAAAAAAAGTTAATATAAAATGACGAAAGGAAGATGATTTACCACTTAAATTTATTATGTATATAAAAATGCAATTGTGCTCCAAAAAGTAACAAGTGGCAGATAAGAAATGTTTTTAAAGGCAAATTTAGTAGTATCTATCAAAATTAAAATTTATATAACCTTTGACCTAAGAATTCCACTTTTAATGGTACAACCTAAAGAAACACTTGCAGATAGATAGTAAGTTGCACATATAAGAAAAAGAGTAGAAATAACTTAAATTCTATCATTATGGGAATGCCCAACTAATTATAGGTATAGCCATACTATGGAATACTTGTGCAGCTGTCAAAAAGAATGAAGCAGATCTATATTTTACTGATATGGGAAGAGTTCCAATTTATTTATAAAAAAAAGATTACAGAACCATACATATATAGTCTGGTCCCAATCAGGTTAAAAAATGTTTCAGGTGACCTTTGCATCCATATGAGAGAGAGAGAGAGAGAGAGAGAGAGAGAGAGAAAGGGAGAGAGGGAGAGAGAGATGGAAGAACACACCCCCTAGGCCACTGGCCATGACCCCTCTAGGGTGGGCAGTGGGACATGAGGAAGATCCCAGGGGAGCACCCACATTTTATTGCTTGAATCTGTTGCAGTGAGAAAGCAGAAATTAGAAAAATATTTTATAAAGGCAGAGATGCCTGTGTAAGTTCCTCGTTTGTGCATTAATTCTCTGACCATAAGGGATGTAACTGCACTGAGAGCAGTTTGGACCGAAGAAGGGCAGAATGAAGCTCAGCAGCAGAGGCGGTGTGTTCCTGCGGCCTCTGTGAGACACGCCAACCCACAAAGAAGAATCAGCCTTTCCTGGGACCACAGGTAAGAGTATTAAGTGGCAAAGATGACCACTGAGCAGTTTAAGAGCTGAATCCTGACAATCAAGGCAAGATAAACCCTGGAGCAGAGCCACTCACGCTGTGCTTCTGGGCCTTGATACCAAGCAGCCCTGACCTAATCCTGACTGTCACAGGCAGCCTGTTCTGTGACACGCACAGGGAGGAGGGCGAGCAAAAGAAGACATGGTACCTTGCATGAGCATCTCCATGGCGGTCCTCGGCTTGGACAGCCGTCTCTCTTCCAGTTCACTGTCAGATTCATCATCCTCCTGGATGTCAATGTCCGACTCATCATGACCTGGCAAGAACACAGAGGACAAAAAAAAAGGGGTGGTGGTGGCTCCATCCTTACTTCTAAACCAATCTCTGTCTAGTAAGGCTCTTGTGCAAGTCATCTGCACTTCTCAGCCTTTCTTTTGATGCATTACATTTTATGGGCTCTCAGGATTTGCTGACAGATGCTTATGAGTAGTGAAGAGTTAATGCAGACAATAGGCTGGTTCATTTTCTTAAAACAATTTTCCAAAGCAAGAAAAAAGTGGGTCAGGTATATTAGATAGAAACACTATTCCAGTATATGAAACTAAACAACTGAATAGCTAGCTCTCGAGGTAGTTGAGAGTTCTTGGTTAGTTGGAGGAAAAAACATTCTCTGTTCAGCCTTAGGCTATGTTACCAGAATTCAAGCTCCTTAAGGATAACAAAGATGAAGCAGATGCCACTGAAAAGGCCAGCAACTGCACCAAAACAAGACAGGAAGCAAGAAGGAGACCAGGCTAGGAACGGCCTAAGTGGGGTTGGCTGAGAAAGATGGCAACCCTAGTGACTGGCAGTGAAAACTGGTGCTCATGATATTCTTTACTGTAGAAAATTCCATGATAAAGATATATACAGAAAGGTCATTCTCAATGTCATGGTCTTTTATATTAATTTCTTAAATACTCTTCTGGAGTTTTGTGCAGGTTGAACATTTCCTAATGGAAACCTACAGAAGGAGAGTTTCCATAGTGGGGAGAAAAAGCTTTCATTGCCCAGCCTGATTACTCTGCGCCCAGGGAGAGAACGGGTTTTAAGGATGGGCTGGAGGAGTTTGCAGTTGCTGCTCTGATCACTGACTCATGATTCAGTTTGGAGGTATAGTCAGTACTGATCTACAGAGCTTAGCTCCTGCTCTAAGGAGTAATGAAATGGCAGCTGCGTCTAGCTGAGCACTGAGGGAAAGATTTCTGCTTTCTTTAGCTATGGAGAGAAGAGCTATGCTCTACAGCACAGAGGGCAAACCTGGGAGCCAGGAAAAGTGTCAGTAACAGCATCCTACAAGCCTCCAACACAATCGATCTGAAAACTACCACTTTACAAAAGCCCTTACAGAAAATATGATTAAACATTAACATAAGTTAATGACTGTAAAATAAAATCAATGTTCAGCTTAGTTCACTTTTTACTTCACCCAGGAAAATTATGACATTAAAACCATACCCGGGGGCCGGCCAAGTGGCATGATGGTTAAGAACTCGCTTGGGATGCCAGAGGGCCCCGGTTCGGATTCCACATATGAGGGCCAGTGACACTGCCCTCTACAGCTAAGATGCTGAACAACAGCTCAACCTGGAGCTGGGCT